AGACTTTCCCGCAGTTTTTCTGCCAGTTTTTCCTTTCCGCCTGGCCAGTCTTCTCCCGAGCTCCGTTGCCACGCTAATTCATGTCCAAATGGGATTAAACATTGCACGCGTAATGAAGACAACTGGGGGGCCCAACAAAAATTAATAAATGCACCTGGATTAAAGACAAGCACCCGCCACCCGCGCAAAAAAAATCCACCCCCCCCCCCCAAAAAAAAAAAAGAGAGAAAGGAGAGGAGAGATAGCCAAGCCAACACCCGGTCCTTGGATCTTTGGTACCTTGTTCCTTAAATCCAAAACTGTCAGCTTTACCAAACCCATGTTTTCTTACATGTCTCTTGTTTCAAACCTGCCCACAATCAAACCCACAAAGGGGGTAGCAATTCAGCCCCCAACTTGACAGTATTTCAGGGGCCCCCGAAATAAAGTCTTGTTGCCTGGCCCCCTGAAAAATACAACCTGCCCAGCGCAATTGCCTCTTAGCTAGTCAAGTAGTTAGACAGCCTAGGTGGGGCTGGCAGTGCTTCATGCTGTGTTGTTAGATTTGGGCCTTCTCCTCAAATCCAAAATTGTCAGCTTTACCAAACCCATGTGTTCTTACATGTCTCTTGTTTAAAACCTGCAAACAATCAAACCCAAAGGGGGTAGTACTTCAGCCCCCAACTTGACAGTATTTCAGGGGCCCCCGAAATAAAGTCTTGTTGCCTGGCCCCCCCAAGAAGAACAAAAGGAAGCTCCAGCAATACTAAACCAAATGGAAACTCAGTTCCAAATCTCAAAAAGGAAGCTCCAGCAATACTAAATCAAATGGAAACTCAGTTCCAAATCTCAAAAGGAAGCTCCAGCAATACTAAATCAAATGGAAACCCAGTTCCAAATCTCAAAAGGAAGCTCCAGCAATACTAAATCAAATGGAAACTCAAGTCTACCAATACTAAATCAAATGGAAACTCACTTCACCTGGATCTCAAGATGCTATTCTAGATACCCCCATCGTTGGGGGGGGGTCCCCCCCTTTACTAATCCCATTTGGACATTAGTTGGTGCAGCGCGGCATTTGGGGTCTGATAACGTTGCAAACAAAGGACGGCTCAATTCCATACAACGTCATGCTGCGCCAGTAAATAATTCGGAGTTTTCTTCCGTCTCTTCTGTTCCGAAGCTTGCCGACTCTTTCCTAGAATTATCTCTCCAACAGAGTTTGTCAATGTTGTTCCAGCATGATCTTGCCATCTTAGTCACCATGCTTCAGTCCTGAATAGGTCCTGGTCTTCTCCGGTTTACCCTCTAACAATATATGGCTGAAACTTTCAATCCTGTCTGTGCTTCCGGCGCTGCAATTGGCGTGCGTTGGCTGGTTTGGCTGGTGCTTCGTTCAATCTTTGAAGGGCTTTCGCCCCAAGCTGCGTTCCTGAAGCTTCTGTAACAACCACTTCGAACGGGTGGGGAAAACCAACGCCAAACAGACTCAGCAACACGAAACAAACTCCACAAAGATTGCTGCTGCCACACGAGGTCGCTCCATGTCTTCCCCGAATTCACAAGTTTCCTAGGTGTTGGGGCGAATCCACCATCCTTTCCTCTGATCTACTTCCCGCGTTTTGCACCACCTCTAGAACATCGCGCCTCAGAGTGAAAGTCAGGGCCCTCAAAGGTGACCACGCGCTCATACATATCATAGTGGGTGTCATGCAGATTCAGGCCTGCAAGCGAGTGGATTCACCGTGGTTGGATGAACTGTGACTAGTGGTTAAACATCAAACATATCGTTAGAGCGTGAACGCGCAACTTCCATCTTTAAAGCCGAACCGGTGTGGCGTTTGGTGGTGGCACTCTGTGGTCATTGAGAAGATGACCGTGCCGCACTGGGCCAGGAAGGAAATACTGCAAAGCCAAACATGGGCAGCACGCAGAATTACCAAAGTCGGAAGCATATCTTGACAAAAGCAAACCCAAAACCCAAGCTGTGCTTACCAAGTGTAGATCACACCAAGGCCAGCCCAAGCTGGCGGCACCCCTAACTCTGCAACGATGAAACTGCTAAGCCTAAGTCGGGCTTGCATCAAACAACATACACGTGGCCGGTCAGCTTGGCCGAAGGTGCATGGAAGTGGAACATCTGTAGCGGGAACACGGGAGGTCATTCCAAACACATTCAATGGCCACGCACTCCCACCGAGTCAACAGAAACTCTGCCAAGGCTCGATTGATCCGGCGCTCAAGCAGGCACACCTTTGGCGACCACTGCGCGCGGATCATGTTATTACCTCGGTGGGCACACGGCTCGTGCCTTTGCCAAGGCCAGTTCAGGGGGGAAAACGGGCAAAAAGAGTCGAGGAGCAGCAGAAGGGCAAACCCTGAACGAGTTCCTCTGGCCGATGGTCACTATGCCAGCTTTACAAGCATAAAGCCAAAAAGCCTTGTCACACAGAAAGCCAGTCCGTGCCGAGTGCTTCTGCATAAAAATGCGCTGGCCCCTCCTTCCGACCGTATGAACCGTATGAACGTAACCTGTGGTTTCAGGCTTTCCCTAATGCATGGCTCGAGCCCCAGGCGACCCCCTGTTGCCCACTCGCATCCACTCGCCCTTTCGGGGTGGCCGTGGCACTGAACAACTGGGACCCGACAAGGGCGGTGTTAAACTCGCGCTTTTGCGCCCAAGTCACGTGCATCTGGGGGCTCCAGGAATTTTTGCAGGAGGCCGTCGCCTCTTTCCATCTGCCTGAACCGTGACAGAAACACCATGAAACACCTCTCTCTGTGGAGGAGCAAACGGCACTGGCAAATGGTTGGAAGCAAACTAAAACCAGCGCCATCTGTTCTGATCCATGCCGGCCCGAACAAAAACACCGATGTACAGCCCTAGAAGCTGACATTCGAAGCGCGGAAGGGAACCTTCCTTCGAAGGACCGAAGGCGCCCCGTAACTATCCAAGCTTACAGCGTGAGACATCTCCACTTTTTGTGCATAGGGATGCAAAGCTAAGCCCTCAAAATGGCCTGACAGGCACAACGTTGTCAACAAATGAAACGGAATAAAACAAATGGAAGACATGGAGTTGGAAGACCCAGCCAAGCTCAGGCAGCCAACACCTTTTTGTCACTGGCCTGTTGAAGAGCAGCTCTCTTAGCTGCGCTTCGTTGAGGTATTCGATGGTCGTCGGCGCCATGCCGGAGTCCGCAAGGCCTTGCACGTTGGATCAGCATTTGCAGCAGAAAAAACGGGGGCTGGCCTAGCGTGGCGCGCGAGATACCCAATCTCCACACAGGGAGGCAAGGGACACTGCTGACAATCAGCACCACTGCCACCGGCCAAATGTTGAGTGGTCCGAAAAGTGGGGGGCTGAAGATGCGTCCCTGCCTGTCTGCGCATCTTCTGCACAAACTGCAGTGCGCACCTTGCAACCCACTGCTGCTCTTGGAATGCAAACCTTCGCTACCACTCGACACGAAATGCCCCCATGATGTCCACCCTGACGTGTTGCGAGCTGTGCCGCCAACTTGCCAAACAAGTCAAAAGACTTGCCTGAAGTCCTGAAGGGTCCAATTCAAACATGGAATTATGTTGTACATTGCATATGTGCAGGAAATCAGTATGTTCAGTGACATGAGCAGTCTCAAGAGTGGCTGCAAATTACTTGTTTATAAGAACAAGGAACAAGTCCAACTGAACGACTGCCAAGCTTGACTAAGGACGGCACGTAGTAGGCGACGATACCACCAGCTAAGGGGCGCTTCAGAAACTCCTTCAGGATGTACCTGGATGTGGCTTGCATGTCCCGGCTACCATGCCCCAAGTGAAGCAGCTATGATCGCAACCCTATGGCAACGGCAACCAGTCTGACACACCGGAGCATATACAAGTGATCCGTGTCCCCTGCATGCCGGGCTTGAAACATGACTGGGGGCACTCTGCATCCAACTTGGTCTTGTGCTTTCGCTTGATGGTACCGTCCACGGAGGTGAAGTACCACACAGAACTCAGCACCGGACATTTCGGGTCAGCTGACTGGGGGGGGAAAGCAAACAGTCCAACGTGGCGACCAATTTGCGCTCTCTCCGATGGAACTAGCTGACACTTCACATGTCCTGCGGGGTGAAATTTACGCACCAAGGCCGAGGCGGGGCGCTGAACTTAAAGACGATGGTGTCTGGTATTCCTTAGCCACTCGCTTAACTTCTGGACCTTGCATAGCAATGAGTTCACACACATTCTGCGCACAGTTGCTGAAAAAACAACAGCATCGGCAATAACTCGAACAATCCCTCGCAATTCCTCGTCGCCCTTGACGCTGTGATCCGGGTCGCTTCTTTTGGCTTGTCAAGTTTTCCGTTGTTTCAGATTGGTGACAATTTGACGGATAAGACTCAACCGCTCAAGTTGGAGAAGGCTGCCCTCACGGCTGCCCGGAAGGCTGCACCTCAAGGTGTCCGCAGCGACAATCTTCATGCCAAGTTGCGTAAAGCAATGGACTGCTGGCTTAGCAGATCCTTTCTCCACAGCAGCTCGAACCTGAGCTTCGACGGCAGGGTTGCGAGCAGCTGTGACATGCGCCCGGCAGAAATTAGTACGCCCCAGGCCGATCTCCAATTTGTTTCATATCTGCTTATCTGCTAGTATTGGCTGTAGGTGCTTGGGGACACCGTCGGCTTGTTTATTTTGGCTTTCTGTTTTTTGAAGGGAATTCACAAAACAGTGGGGGACTCAGAACCATTTACAAAATTGTGGGGCCGAGGGGCAGCTGGCGGTTCACCCCATCCCCCTCCAGGCGCCGCGGGTCGACCTCGTCCGGCGCCATGGCGGCGCCGCGTGGGCTGTGGGCCGAAGCGGTCGGAAAACGAGCCTGGAGCTGGCCGCTTGCTTCCCGAGTTGGTCCCAGTTTGAGAGATATTGGGAGGCTTGGGAATTTGTGAAGGCTAACTCAGGGACGAGTTGACAAATCAAGGATTGACTGCAGAGAATCCACATCTGCCCGCTCCCTGCTCCACCCCAGGCGGGTCTTGTCCGTATCCAGCCAGCGCCAGCCAGATTCACAGCGGCCAGCCTGGCGAACACAAGCGCATCACCCTGCCCATAGCCTCTGCTCAGCATGACGGCATGGCGGCGAGAAGCGCATATACGCTGAGCAAGGCTGGTCACAGGCTGCCACGCACACACACAACACACAACACACAACACACAATACACAGCACACACACACACACCACACACACACACACGCCACACACACACACGCCACACACACACACGCCACACACACACATGCTCACAAATGCAGAGGAACAGGCACAGGCACAGACACCGCGGGCAGACAGGGCATACAGGGCAAACAGGGTAGACACAGCAGACCAGGACAGGACACAGGACAGACATTGAAACAGGCACACAGACGCAAACACACACACACAGAGACAAAAAGACACAAGGAAACAAAGGCACAGCCACACAGAGACACACACACACACACAATCCAGCGAACTCACACACAACAACAAATACACTCACTACAGCCAAATCATGAGTATGCGGGTGCCAAGCAAACATACATTTGCATATATGCTCTTGGGTGTGTGCAGTGTGCAAATGTCCACCCACACGCCTGCGTCACCAGTTGTCTGTACAACAACCTTACAACTGCATGCTTTCTTCAGAGCTAGCCTAGAAAATAACTTTTGTGTCTACACAAGTGGCGATTCTGGAATTTCCCAGCCAAGCGAATCAAGACCCGGCACCTGTAGTACGCAGCGCCTCAGCTGACGGAGGTACCTGCGGCGAATAGAGATGCTATCCGATCTCTCGCCTGGGGTCGAAACCAGGCAGCTCAGTTGAACTGACTTGTGCCCGTTTTTAGACCCTTAGGCTGCTTGGTTCACTTTACCCCGCTCTGGTTCATTTCAGTTCAGGTTAAGTGGGTTCATAGCGAAAGAGAGCCGATATCATGCCGATATCATATCATATCGACCACAGCCAGAGGCCTTGCTGGTTTTGACACACCACACACACACACCCCTCACTTCCACGTTCAACAGGATCATTCCGCATTATTTGAAAACCGAACAAGTGAATCGACGTGAGACTTATGTGCGGCAAAAGTTCACATGTGGACCCGCAATGGGACCCCCTGAATGCTGCTTGAACATCGTCTGCACCCCTGAATGCCACAGGCACATGCACGACGAATGTTGAACCATCCACGCCCACACATATATACCCAAAAGCGGGCTCTTTACGGCTGTGGCACTTCTCCCAGTCACAGCTGAACTTGCCTGCGGCATAAGAACCTACACTGCATTCAAACCAAGCTGCATTGGCCCTCTGGAGGTCAACAACATGAGTCTGTTGGGATGGCTTTGGCACAGCCGGGGTGTCACACTCCCCTTGCTCTTCCCCAAAGCTCAAGCTACCGCAGCCTCCAATGAAAGCATTTGATGGCCCGTGGCACCCGATGTTCGTAACCGGAGAGACTCTGACTAGTCGACGCCAACAATTCTTCGGGCCTTGTGACATTCATATACCACATCAACTCGCTTCCTGCACTAACTTCGTGACATGTAACTGGGCTGCCCTCAGATCCCCCGCAAAAAGTTTACACTGATTTGAGAGTAGATGGCTCAACCCCAGTTGAGCCAAAAGTAGATGGCACATCGGGTCGCGGGGTCGTTTATAAATAGTAGATGGCGCTAGTCTTCCTAAAAGCTGGAACGGAGCCATCTACTATTGACAAATCTCATGCGTTTCAAAAACCTGCGCCATCTACTTTTGACAGCCAAGAATTGGTATGCTTCCTGGTCGTTGAGTCGAAATCCTTTTTTCAGATGTCGATCTGACTTTGGTCGTGGCACTCACCCCCCCCTTCAAGCATAAAGGGGTGCGGCACAACCTATCGACCCTGGCAATGGGCAGTGTGTACAGGCGGTGCTCCTGACCCTTCGGGGTGATGGGCTGGGGCTGGTGATGGCAGAGGGCCCATTTGTTTAGCCATCTACTCTCAAATCACCACAGAACACTAAAAAGCTAAAGGCTAAGGGGATGGCTGGGAGCCACCAAGGTAACATCTCCCAACTCACCTCGGTCACTCGCGTCCTTCGGCTTCGGGGCCTTGCGGAGGTGGCGCCCTTGCAGCGCAAGACCTCGTCCGTGGCCTTCGGCATGGGGCCCTGAGCGAGGGGCCCTTGGCTACCTCGCGTAAGACTTGAGGATTTTGGCGCTTGCAGTCTGGGTGCTTTTGTCGGACGCCGTGGTTGTAAGGACACAAACGCAATACCCTCGCGTTGAGAGTCGGCAGGGGATATGTGAGACAGACATGTCACACTTCAGCTAAGGTTTTGTTTCAAGCCCTGGCACTACAGGTCCAGTGCGCGCAGCTGCGCTGGTGATTCCCTTGAGGCGAAGCCAACGCGTGGGTGCAGGTTTGGTGCTGGGCGTGGCGTACCAGCAATTTGCTTCATTCTGAACAAAACCAAACACGCACACAAACTGTCGCACGCTAAGTATTGGTAAATTTGGGAAGGACATGGGCACTAAGTGCTTCTCTTGACTACTGCATCTACTGCACCAAATGCCTAGCCTAAGCGCCTGGTCCGATGACTACCGGCCCTTGAAATAATCCCCCACCCCCTCAAAGCTTGATGAAAATTGGCCGACAAGGTGGGGTTTTAACTACCCGACACCTTGTGGACAAATTGGCCCCAAGGCGACAATTGGCCGAAACCTAATCAAAAGAGCAAGAAACCCCAAACGCGCGCCGAAGGCTGCGCCCTGAACAAAAAGAGGTGGATTGACCGTGGTTAATCCCTCAGCGGTTCAGGGGGTGATTCCTAGACTCTCGTTCCGCACTCAGCGCTGTTTTCTTGATGTGCGCTTGAGCCAAACGGCGTTTGCCGTTCGACAAGTCTGTCATGACATGCAACCCTCAACCTAAACCAAAGTGGCCTCAAGCAAACCTCACATCAGTGACCACACAACTAGGCAAGTTACCATGCCTTTGGGGGCTAAGGGGTCGTTATTTCTTGACTCCCCCCTCGCCGTGTGCACTAAGGCAGGGTAAGCTTTTGTTTTGGAGCGCGATACGCTGCTCCCGGACATCAAGGCTTTACAAGGATGAAGGATATTTTGGCACTCTTAGTACTCACAGCACTACCTTCGGGATGACTTTCTACTTTTTGATGTTGAATCGAGTATCTTCTAGCTCTTCTGGGAGATCTGTGCGCATTCCCAGGAGCCTCAAGGCGTGATCCCACTTATGCGGAGGCAAAGCCTTGGTAAAGATATCGGCAGCTTGGAAATCGGTCTTCACATATTCAAGCTCTACTCCAGTGCCTTCCTGTAACTGTTCTGCAAGGGATGCTAGGTTAACCCTATGTGTCCTAGAAATTGCACGCAACTTCGAGGAGTGCCCTTTCCTTGCAACCAGAATAGTAGCTTGATTGTCTTCATGGATCCTTAGGGTCATTGGGCGACCCAATAGTCGATCCCACAGACTAAGTGTCGGGAGTCCCTCCTGATACAAAGAAAATGCTAACGACACAATCTCTGCTTCTGTAGTGGAACGCGACACAGAAGTCTGGCGCTTGCTAATCCATGCTAAGGGGAAGTGGGAATTCGGGCCTTTCAGGGCGAGAAACCCCCCTGACGTGGACTTGGCCCCCTCTTCTCCTGCAAAGTCAGCGTCGACGTAGAGCGCAAGATGCAGCTCTCTGGGATCGTCTTGAACTGTGCCAACCAACCTGTGCGTTGTGGTCGTGTTGATGTAAGCTATTAGCCTAGCCAACTGCCTATCATTATTACGCGACCATTTTTGAACGCACGTTGCAAGATCCCCGATGGGCTTGATTATGTCTGGACGTGCAAGACGTCCCAACCACAAGGCCTTCATCAAGATTTTACAAGCGGCTGAGCTCAATTCACCTGCTTCGGCATCATCTTGTGTTGGCAATGACCCTTCTGGACAGAATGGGGTCAATGCCTTGCGGAGTTTACTAATCGGCTGACCTGAAATGGAGACATACAAATCTACAGTTTGTTTGGCATAGTCAACCATATCAAAAGCCATTGCGTTGGACAGCGCGCCAAAGGCTGCGCTCTCGGCTGGATTAGGCTCGCACTTCGGGGCGTTAATGATGACATGATTCCTTCCCAAAACACGATATATCGGTTCTGGGGGTTCAATGTCAACACATGACATCAGCTTTTCCCAAAAGGGGTCATGCTGCTCTGCCGGCCCTGAAAGTGTTAGATCATCCACATAAGTGGATAGCATTAAGCCGGTTGAGGGGAAGTAAAAGTTTCCTGGAAATTCTTGGATCTCCTCTCCGGTCTGCTCCTTCAAGATCTTCTTGAAGTGCTGCTCCCATAGCCCCCCCGCGTCGGGGTGACCGTAGAGTGCTTTTACTAGAAGGACTACCGGTTTTATAAACTTTTCTTTCCACCACTTCGGACGAAGTTCCGGCGGCAACGATATCCACGTCTGATGTTGAGATCTAAGTAGGGCCTGGATATATGCCTTTACGGCGTCTGCCGCCGTGGTTTTGTGACCTGGCAGTGAGCCGTAGGCAAGGCAATTGTTCAAACCCTGAACGGACGTAGGGTTGGCGCCGAGTTCTTGATAAACGGCCGCCGCCCCATATTCGTCCCGCGCACAGTCCCCTCGGTATACTATACGCCCCTTCATTTTCTGTAGATGCTTTGCTAGCTCAAAGAATTTGATGGAGGCGATGGTCATTAGTTGCCCGAAGTGGACTTTAGTGTGCGTCCGTCGCGCTTCAGCAGCGACCTCTCCTTGCTCTCTCACGGTGCTGAGATCCCAGACTCCCGCATTACTTAAGCCGTCTGCTTCTTCCTTTACGGCCTGCAATGCCTCGGACGAGGCAAGCATCTCTGAACGTGAAAGAAGTTTTGTGACCATGGCGGCTATGTCGGGAGAAGTCTCCTGCTTTGTAATTCCCTGAATTTCCCTAACGAGGTTATCCAAGTCAAAGAGTTCTTCAAAGAATCTGCGGGATGTTGGATCTGATTCAACCACTGACGCGAGAGCCCCAACACCCGAAAGTGCGGAGGTATGCTTCAAGGACTGCTCCTTTTCCCGATGCTCCTCTTGCACGGTGACAGCCTGGACTGGCATTGCAGGCGCGCATGGTGCTGCGACATGCGGGTATAACGCACTAGCGATTATCTTACACATCTCTTGTGGATAAAAGGCGGTGCGTGCAGTGTTGCTACCTGCGGCCTGTGCGTGCTTGAAGGAGTGCTGGTGGGGGCATGTCCTATTCTGGAACCCATCATGAAGTTCCTTGGATGTGGTCATGAGACGCCACGGCTTCTTGATGGGAGTCCCTTCCTTGTCAGTTAGACCTACTGCACACCCGTGGAAAGTCACTGAGTGGAAGCGAGACGCATGCTTCTCGAAGAATGCCTTTACGTCGGGGCGCTCCCATCCCTCGCAGTCGCGAGGCCACTCGAAAGTGACGTGACCCTCTTGTTCTATCACCACTTCGGCGTGCTTTGTGAACCTTGCGAACAACGCCTCCGACCTTTTAACCTGTGCACGGAGATACTGCTTGTATTTATTGCCATACCTATGGACATTTAGCCTTTGCCATGGCGACCCGGAGGTGCACGGAATGGCCGCCCACATGTTAGGCTTGCTACAAGACTGCAACTGAGCGGTCAGTTGCTCATCCCCTTCATTGGTTTCAAGATCGATGTGTTCTTTAGCCAGTCTCACGTGGGGAATGCCTAATGCTTGATGCACTGCTCCCATGGTGGAGTCACTTGAACATGCATACTCGAACATTACAGGCATAGAATTTCCCCGCGCGATACGCTTGCGGGCCCTCTTATTCCCTACGGAAAACTTTTTGCATGGCTCCCTTTTGGAACATGGCATGCCGAACACAGGCAGAGTCCGAGCCTCCCTCTTGGTGAAGGAGTCGGCTACGTGGCACGTGAGTGACGTGGAGGTTGCAGTGGTTGTTGTTACCGCCGCGCCAGTTGTGGCTGCAGGCGGCGCGGTTGGCGGAATCCCCCCTGGCCGAGACGGAGCTGGCTTGCCGCGAAGAGCATCATCATGTTCTTCGGATGCCCTCAGTGCTTTCTCGAGCTCATCGGGATCAGATAGATCTGCCTTTTCAAGGCGGGAAAGCTCAAGTGCCTTTTTAAGGTCAGCATCGTCTTCTTCGAGACGTGCCTCCTTGGCATGAACTGGGTCAATCGCTTCGGAGGGGCGAAGTGACCGCTCTGCCTCGACGGCAGCCGAGCGCTTGGAGCGCTCCTCGGCTTTCTCCGTATCGACCAGCCTCGCAAAGCGACGTCGACATTCGGGGGTATGGTACCGGGTGCGCCCGGTACAACCTCGACAACCTGGTGTTTCACGGAACCGGATTATCCGATCCACAGTGATGTACACGCCTCGCGGCGTGCCTGGAGCGGGAGTCGGCGGTGCAGCTACCTCGCTAAACGGAACCTCTTTAAGAGCGACTTCTGGGAGTTCACCCTCGGCTTCCCCCGTCCGCAGCGCCTTGTGGGCAGCTGCCGCAACGGGGAAGCAAGGCTCGCCTTCTTCAACGAAGAGCTCTGCTTCCGGGACATCATGCACTACAATCGCTCGACGAGTCCTAAACTCTTGATAATCTAGGACCTTGACCACATGGCGATACCGAAGGCCTGCGTCAACCCTCCAGCCCAAAAACAAAGCAGGTGCCAAGTTGGGTTCTAGAGTGCGCTTATTAATGCCCTTTTTACGGTAATAGACAAGCTGACCAAAGCAATGCCTAATGCCATCGAACTTCGACTTTGTCAAGGCTTCCCATTGGGTCTTAGCCTTGTCGAATGTTGCAGGTCTGTCGAATGACATGGAGAGACATGCGAAGGGATAGGAGTGAGTGTGAAGATCGTACGGCAACCCACTCTGGAGGTGGATGGATCTGCAACATTCCTTTTCTTCCCTAATATCCCTTTCCAGCTCAGCATTATGGGGCCATCGATTCGGCAACGAGGTTTCGGGTGTCAGGCCGACCTCATGTGCTGCCGCTTCGAGTTCCCCCGCTTCATCCATTTTGATTAGACATGTCGGAGCAAGCTCGTTAGCTTTCAAACCTAGGAAGTGCCTTAGATTTTTGGAATGGGCTGCTGTGTCCCTTTTGGATACAGGATATGCAAT